TTAATAGAGTTCCCTTATACTTTCCATATAAGTGAGTCCCGTCAACTGAAACAACTGGAAGACAGTATTGGAAGCCATCAATGGATGCCTTGAAAGACCAAAAAACATACCTGAACTTAAATGTAGTCGGTGCGTTCGTAGGTAGGGTTTGCAAATCCACAACTGTCCCATGGTTTGATCCCATAATTGCACCGAGCAAAGGAGCCAGCTTGTTGTATGAGTCCTCCCAACTACCGTACAATCGCTGAATGGCCAATGACTTTGCACACTATGCCTTCTTATAGGAGACATATACTTGGAACAACTCATAAACATCCCTCATTATGAGTTTGACTTTATAATCAGCATCTTCTTCAATTTTAGGACCAATCAGGCCACTAATGAGCTCACTAGTTAACAATTTGTCGTCTTTAGCTCGCGTGTAATCCGGCCTACACTAGTGATACCCCTGATATTGCTTTATGGTCCATATACTACACCCAGCATTCTCTGCTGCTTGTATGAACCAAGTGCATTGCGGGGCATATACATAACGTGCTTTCCAATAGCGGCTCCGTTTCGCTTCTGTGTGAAAGTGTCTATGCTCCGCAATGTTCCTTAATGACACAGCTTGTTGTAGACTTTGGAAAGAAGGATACCTGTTGCCGACCTCAATAATTGGGATGTGGAATGTTGGCCTCAACGACATATTTGGTACGTGACTTTGCCGGTCATGTAACTGTGGCATTGCACGAACGTCCTGGCCATCTTCTCCTTCATCTGCAGATATGTCCTCTTCCTCTTCCGAAGATTCTTCATCTTCCGTTGAGGGTGCAATGTACTCAGCATCATATGGATCGCTATCAACATGTTGAGCGAAATGGGATGAAGAGGGCTGATCCATTTGTTGGTGGAAGAATGGATTACCATCCGTTTCCTCCTCAACATTTTTAGACACCCCAATGAATACTTCAACTACATCGTATTCACGTGATGCTTTCCGTATAAAATGCCTCCATGTTGGTTCATCGTTGATTGGGAGAGGTCGTGAACCAACATAAACCCCAGATTGATGTCTGGGGAATTTACCATAGACAGATTCCACGCCTTGGAATCCATCTTCAAGAACATCACTAGTAATTTGACCAAGAAAAGTGTCGTAGGAGATATTAGAATTAAACAACAAAGACTTCTTCGGAAGCTCAGAGTATAGAACTTCACTATTAAGGGTTTGTATCTCACCATTCCAATGAGCTACAAGAAGTATAGTATTCTCTTGTGACATTGTTTATTTTGGTGTGTAGAGTAATGGTGATGGTGTATTCAAACTGAAGAAGGTAGTGGTATTTATAATATGTAGAGTGAGGTTAGTTGGGGGTGAGTATTATTTTAGTTAGGTGGGTGTGTGTATTTGGGTAGGTGCGAGGTGGGTGGATAATATTATTGTCGGGTAGGTGAGAGTGAGTATTAATTTATTTAGGTGGGTGTGATTATTATTGTCGGGTAGGTGGGAGTGGGTAGTATTTATTTAGGTGGGTGTGATTATTATTGTCAGATTTCAACATAACACTGTAAAAAAATAAGTTATCAAACCAAATATTTCAACATAAACAAATATCTGAACAAATGGTTTTGAATCTCAAAACATTAAGTACCCAGCACAATATATTAAATGTAAAAAAACTACTAAAGATAGTGGCTACCAGTACCACAACGTGGACGACGTCGATTACGTCGTGGACGAAGACCCTGCTCTCCTTCACCCTCCACTTCTACGTCATCCACTGTCTGCTGGATTACCGACGGTGTAGTAGTGGAGACAAAATGTCCAAACTCATTTGTGAGCTGACTTTCCTGAGTAAAGAAATCGCCCCTAAACACATCTCCATCAAACGTCACTGGTGATACATCGTGCATGCGCCTCGAAGGATGCTCTATGTGGAATTCAGGAGGATGTGAACTGGACGGCTCAACCATGCAAGAAGGTGTGTGTGTGTCGCTATGAATATGTTCTTCGTCACCAACATCTTCATCATCATCATCCTGGGTCATAGGGGGAGACGGAATGGGGATGTGTACATCTTCATCATCGACCTGCAACCTCCGACTACCCCGCCCTCCACGTCTGACTCCGACAGCAGGTGCATCACGCCTTCTTTCTGCCCGTCTCCTGATATGTCCTGGGTTGTAGGCATGCTGCTCCTGTGGATGATCAAGGATAGATGCATGTCCAAGAGCACGAACACACTCTGTTAACAACTCATGAACTCTCAATACCTCGTGCGAAGGTACAAACCCATCTGGATGCCTACCAGGATCAAGGCGCTGACTGCAATCCGCCATACAGTATAACTACATACAACATTATTGATTAGTTTAAAAAAATTTACTTAGAAATATGTACTTTATGAATACTTACTGCTGTCTGTAGCTCCGGAGAAATGGGGATCTACCCTGGTCCGTGCTGATGGACAGGGTTCCCTATCTGTCGTCGACCCCGAAGGTAGTACCACTGACGATACTCCGGTGTGGCATCCACCATCCCAAACTCCATATGCACTGTAGCATCATAACGTCCCTCCCACATCTCTAAATACTGTCTCTCACCATCGCCAATTTGCATAACATTTGACTTAATTTGATGTAGATGACGATCATAGAAAACAACTTGAGGGACGTGTTGCAGGGCATTAAACTGCCTGCAAAAGCGATCAGGATAGTACATCTCCACTACGTATGCATAGATCAAGGGGATTCTAGAAATCCATATTCCGACTCCATCTGAACAATATGGCGGTAGGGTCTCGAGGTTCGGATACGGCATCCAAACAAACTGCATGCATAAACAATTACTAAGATACATATTCAAACTAAAATATATATGTATAACACTATGATATTATGAATACTCACCTCTCCCTCGAGCAATCTATCAAGTTGGTCCCTGTATGCTCGTATGGAGTGTGTGGTACAATCTGACCATCGATGGTAGCACACCCATCTACAAGTGAAGGATTATGCACAACCATGAATGAAACATACAATATGATTTTATAATGTACATAAATAAACTACAAATACCTGACTCCATATGGGACATCTACCAGCTGATCCAATGGTATAACCCCTCTAGGTCTAGTCATAGGCAGACGCTCCCAAGCCCAAAGATGTAACAAGACTAGACAACCTCCAATCTGTGCTGCACTCGTCGCACTAGCACGACACATACTACGGTACAAGTAACTGAGTACTGCCGACCCAATCGCACGAGCTCGCACAATGTTTGCGTCACCCATGATAATCTCTAAAAGATACAAACTAACCCTATTTCCCGTCGTGTTGGGAAATAGGCTACCACCCAACAACTTAAGCATAATGGCTCTAGCATGCTGCAAGTAATCTACATCTAAACTCTGATCTGTTAGTTCCTTAGGAACAATGGCAGACATCTTAATCATAGTAGAAGTAATGTCGGATGTTCGAGGCCTAAATCCCATCATGTCCTCACAAATCTGAATCCACTGATCTCTGGATCGGCCAGTCATCCCCGCCAATGGATTGCCATCTACGGGCAATCTAAGCAAAACCTCTACATCCTGCAAAGTAATTCCAACCTCTCCAAAGGGAAGATGGAATGAATGGGTCTCGGGCCTCCATCTCTCCACTAGAGCTGTGATCAAAGCCCAGTCCAACTGCAAGCCACCAACTTTCTCAACCCCATAAAATCCGTATTCTCGTAAAAACTCACTCACACGAACCGGTCTATTAACAATAAGAGTCCTCATTTACAAACTTGTACAAGTCCTGTGACACTTTAATACTTTTTTAGCATATTCTTCTTCGGCCCAAACCGCATCACACCTATGGTCTCCCGCTTCAATTACTAAAACATCGCGTAAAATAGGTCCCGGATGTACATCCATTTGCTTCAAAGATTACAACATAAGAATATATTCAATTAATAAAAATATAACAAGACAATTATATTTAAAAAAAATCATGAAGTAACGACCTATACATACATACAAATTTGTATCAAATTTGTAAGATTAAAACTATATATTTGTCAATATTTTCACATCATCAAAACAAATATAACAAAAAAAGCACCTATACATACAATCTATTTACTAAATCTTGTACAACAACAATCAAAGAAATTTAAAAAAAAATTTAAAGACAAAACGGAGTACCTGACTCCAGTCGCGTTGGGTCCGTCGATCCCCCCCTCGTCGCACTTCTCTCTCCCTCGGCGTTTCCTTCTCTCTCGGCCAGGCTTTTCCTTCTCTCTCGGCGTGGGGTTTTCTGTGTGGCCAAGGTAAAAAACGAGTGGATGGGGAGGGGAGTGGATAGGGGGATCTGAGATTTGAAGGGACACGGAGTTACCTACTCCGTCTAGGTATTATTAAATCCGAACGGAGTAGCGTACTCCGTCTGAGAAATAAAATCATGGGAAACGGACTAGCCTACTCCGTTTTGTTTATTATTTCGAAATCAAACGGAGTAGGGAACTCCGTGTTGCACTGCCAGGAAATAAAACTCTGACTTACACTGCCAGGAATGATTTTAAATTTGTTTACATATATAGGGAGTTTACTCACGTACGTTACATCCGGGTAGTACTCATTCTGAAGTAGAGTAGTACTCATTTTTGCACAAATATAATTAGCGTGGTACACATTTTAAAATAATTCAGTACTCATTTTCACACATTGGTTCAATATAATTATAATATTCATCTACAAATAATTTAATGTTCAATCTAAAACACAATAGCACTCATCTTTATCCTTTATTCTTTATATATATAAATGAGACTCCGACCTCCAGGAACGAGACATTTGGCATAGCTGAGATGCGACAAATGGCGGAGCTGATGTGTCATTTTTTTTAGACAACATGGCGGAGTAATTATTAAGAGCAATATGAGGTGCCATACAGAATTAAATTTAAAAAAGAAAAAAATCTGAGCAAATTGTCGACCCAAATTGTCGACCCAAATTAAAAAAAAAAAAATCTTTCCTTTGCAATCTCCTTCATTGTCGACCCAAATTGGCATAAAAAACGGAACTTCCTTCTCCGGACGATCTAAAGTCTCCTTCCATTCGCTTATAGCCAATTGCTCGCAATTAGAACCTGATTTCGAGCATATCACTGATTCTTTTTAAAATATCAAGTATTCTTTCCTTCATTCAATTTACTCCACGGTTTCAATTGGTAATTGTTATTAATCTGATTTCCTCCCATTATGAAGAGGTAGATCGGAACTCTCTAATTTGGAGTTTAGGATTTGGTTTTTTGTTTTTTTGATTAAGTAATATGTGTTTTTGTTATGCAAATTCAATTGTTAGATTAGTTTTAGAATAATACCTCGGGATACAAATTCACCGTTTCACCATCGTGACTTTGTTTTGATGTGTTTTACAATTTGCAGATGTGGTGGAAAATTGTTACAGTTAGTGAGAGGTGGCAGAGAAGAATATTAATGGAAGAAGTGTGTCTTGCCTAATGTTGGAGTTTCAAGATTTGAGGTGTGGTTTTAAATCTATCTTCAAGATTTGAGGTGTGGTTTTAAATTTAGTTGGGTAAATGTAATCGACATTCATTTTATAGATCAATGGCCTAGCTAACCTAATAGAAAATTAATATGAGCATCTTAGGTTTGAATAATGATATGTATTAGTCTTTGTTCGACATTCATTTTAAGAACTAACAATGTGAATATTAGTCTTTGTTTTTTTACTTAAGTGGAGATGTGAGATTATATCCTCAAAATCCAATCTCTAATTTTAACTTGGTTCTTTTTGCCCCAACATAAAGTCAAATTAAAAACGAAATTACATGACCGAGGGAGTATTATTTCTTTTTACTAATTCTTTTATAAACCTTTAATGGTACAGGTTTCGTTTTTGAAGAAAGGAGTATGAATCATGTTGTTAAGGAATATTTTAAATTGTGTAATTGTACATAGTTAATCACTAAAGAGTTGCAAAAAATATCATCGGTGCAATTGTAGTATCACGAAACAATGTTGAGGAGAATGTTTTCATGCCTTAAATGAATTTGGTACTATTTGATCCTGAATTGCTCTTGAAGTTTCAAAGAAAACCATTTGTAATATGTGTATGTTTTGTTATGACTATCAAAAAGAGTCAAGGCCAAACATTGTGATTTGTTGAAATATTTTTTACAGTAATCACTCACGAACAATTTTATATTTTTTTCGTGAGTGAAAGCAAAGATTTGCTTGAAAATATTACTGTAGTTTAGATGACATTAATACGGGCAATTTCACGAAAAATGTGATATGCCCTAATTCTTTTCAAAAAGTTTGGTTTTAAATTACACATTTACATAGTTATATAGAAGAATTACCAATAACAATGTTTATGATATATCATTTTTTATTAATTCATGAATTCACTATTGTTTTGTTCAATTTTTCAAGCATTAACATCGAAGGAAAACAACAGAGTAAAAAAGTACATTCTTGCACCCGTGCATAGTACGGGTAAAAATATTAGGCTTCTAGAATTGTGATATGTGGCACGCTTATTGGGCAATTTTTTTGACATGTGAGCACGTCATGTCATCAAGTTATATTTAAAGAATTCGTTAACAAAAAAACTTATTCTATAAAAATTAAATTCCATATTTGTTACATACAAATTTTTCTCAGCATAATCACTTTTAAAAACTTTTATATCTTAATTCATTGTTGGAAAACATTGAAAAGAGAACTCATATTCAAAAACAATAATCAAAACAAATAAAATAATTGAATGAACGGATAGATTGGTAGGACTAAAAGAAATTGCATGTGAATATTTGTTTTTATTTTGAATTAATACTAGTTAGAGAAATTTTCCAGCTTTGGAAAAAGAGTAATAAATATATAAAAGAAAAAGATTTTTATGGGTATGTTTATTTAATAGAGCAATAATTTTACTCCGTATATATTAAAAAATTCCAAGCCAGATATGAGATTGCACTTATCAGAACTTATTAGAGAAAATGAAAAATTATTCTTTTTTTGAGGATAGTGCACTATAAGCACCCACACTCGAGTTTGTTGAATGGTAAATGAATTTGTCTTATGCCTTATTCTAGAAGGTGAAAAGGAGTACGTAAGTTCTGATTCTTCATGCAAAACTAATTTAGATGTAGTTGTTGAAGACGATTGGATAACACTTCAATTTTTTTAATAAAATCAAATGTTGGGCGATCTTAAACCACAAAATAGTTTTTAAAAAGGAGTACCAATTATGTCATTGAAGAACATTAACCAAATATCTTAACTGTGTAATGGTAGAAGATTAATCATTGAGAAGCTGAGAAAGAATATTATCACTCCAATTGAGGTTTCCGGAAATCAGTTGGGAAAAAGATTTACATACCCCGAATGAATTTGGTACCATATGATCCAAGACTACTCCTGAAATTCTAAAGAAGACAATTCTCAATAGTCTTATCTTTTACTATGACTATTAACAAAAGTGAAGGTCAAACATTGTCTTTTGTTGTATTATTTTAAACTAATTCAGTATTTACTCATGGTTAACTTTATGTTTATTTTTTTACGAGTGAAGGTAAAAACATGATTAAAAATATTGGTTCTAGATGACAATGGAAACCCTTACAACCATACCAAAAATGTTCTGTATCCTAAAGTCTTTCAAAAAAATTGGAAATAAAAAAGATTTTTTTGAGTACACTTTCAATTCCTCAAATATTACATATTCTACTTTTTCGTTGTTGTCCATTGATTAAAAATCGTGTTATAAATATATTTACTTGATTCCGGAAAATATATTACTTTGAAAAAAATTGAAATCGACAAAAATTTCGTTCGACCACGTGCGTCGCACGGGTCAAAACACTAGTTCTCATATAACTTAGTGTCATTCTCATGTAAAATAAAATTCATACCATAAATAACTTCTTGGTTGTACCCAAAATCGGGTACAACTGAATTTTCATATAATTTGCCAAATAGTTGGGATGTGCAATCTAAAATATTTGCACAAGAATCTAAAGATTTAAATATCTTGTGTAATTATGCTCATGCCTCAAAAGGTACGTATATTCAGCTCTCCAAGTCACCATTACACTAAATTATCCGACATGTTTCGAACAATGTGTAAAATTTTATGTTTTTTGAAATTTATACTCCCTCCGTCCCCGAATTGGGGTTTACGAAGAAAAATTTCTCACTTTTTGAAATTATTTTATTTAGAAATTGGTATATCAATAAAAAAAATTAAAATTACATATTAATCACGTAAATAAACAAAAATTATTTAGAGGTGAGAAAAAAATTGTAATCAAAATGGGGATATAGGGAATATTACATAGAAATTTGTATACAAATAAAATGTAAGATTTGCAAATTTAAAAATTACATAAAAATTATAAATACAAAAAAGAGGTTACATGAGATGCAAACCAACAAAAGTTAAGAGAACTCACAAAAAATAGAAGTAAACATAGATAATACTCCCTCCGTCCGGAAAAAACCTTCCCATTTAGAATTTTTCTCATTTTTTTAAATGGTTGACTTATGAGTTGAAATGGCTAAAATGCCCTTAAAAGGCTAGTGAAGAACGAGGAGGCCGGCAGTCCCTGGTTCTGTCCTTCGCCAACCCTCGTCGTCAATTGGAGCCCCACCACTACCCCTTCACCACCCGTGCTCTGACCATCTTCCCTAGCCCCACATATCACAGCTAGCCCAACCCTTGCCACCACCATCAGTACTTTTATCGCCGGGATTCGCCGCCAGCCCCACCACCGTTGGCATCCCCTCCATCATGCTCGACCCAACACTGCTTCTTGAGCTACCATGACACAGATCTAAAATAAATAACAAGGAGAAAGGGGTCGTGGTGTAGATCTATAAGAAATAATGAGAACTCGTACAGATCTACCCTCATCATCGCGTTATTTGCCACAATCGCCGCCATATCCCAGATCTGGAAGAAAGACGGAGAAGAAAGGATGAGGGAAGAAAGACGAAGGGGGGAGAGAAGAGAAGCAAGAATAGAGAGAGAGAGAGAGAGAGAGAGATGAGAATAAAAGATCTGAGAAAGGAGGAGGATGAAAATGGACGGAAGAAAATGACGAGGAGATGGAGATTGGGCAATGAAAAAAGATAGAGAAGAGGACGAAAGAAAAGAAGAATAAGAAGAAAAGGAAAAAAAGAAGAAAGAGGTTATTTAATGAGAAGGGCATTTTTGGAAGAATTGAGGTTAAAATTAGAAATGGGAAGATTTTTTTCGGACGGGGAAAAAGGAGAAACGGGAAGATTTTTTCCGGACGGAGGGAGTATATAAAATAGAAGATTCATGATTTTAACTTCGAAATGGGAGTTTGTACTCTTACAATTTGACATTATATATTAGCATTTCACAATATTTTTTGGTATTATATAGACCTGACAGAATTTGACCCGACATGTTTTTGACCCGAGACCTTATTTGAAACCACTAAGAGTTGGCAAGAATCCCAATCTCATTTTCCCGACCAGAATTATCTTGATTCCATCCCTATAATATTCCGTTCCGTTTGGGTTGACAGAATTTTATTCTAAACCCGTTCCGAACCATTTTACTCTTAGTTTAGTCAACTTTTCAAAAGTTTTTCAGAGACCAGAATAGTAAAGCTACCTATAGCGCTACACCACCACTCACTTTAAAAGTTAAGAGAAATCACCAAAAATATATGTAAAACATATAGATAATACAAAAATAAAAACTCCATGTTTTTATTATCGAAACTAGAGTTTTCACTCTAACAATTTGGCACTATATATTGGTATTCTGTGGTGTTTTTTGACGTTAAACAGACTTGAAAAAAATTGAACCAACATGTTTTGACCCAAGACTTACTTGATCTGAAACTACTATGGTTGGCAAGAATCGCGATCTCTTTGTCCCGATTTGAAATATCCTAGTTCCGTCCCTATAATGTTCCACTTTGTTTGAGGTAACAAAATTTTATCCTAAATCCATTTCGAACCATTTTACAATGAGACGGGACCGGGACATATGAATATTAATTGTCGCGTGTCACGTATGTATGTATGTAGGTACGTATATATGTATGTATGTATGTATGTATGTATGTATGTATGTATGTATGTACGTACGTACGTACGTACGTACGTACGTACGTACGTACGTACGTATGTATGTATGTATGTATGTATGTATGTATGTATGTATGTATGTATGTATGCATGTATGTATGTATGTATGTAAACACTAAAAGGTATCACAAATTTTGAATTCTCAAGATAGATACAAATAAAATATCTAGATTCAAATATTATTTAAAAAATATACTACGACTGGAACACCTCAAAATCTAGACCGTTCTTACTTGTGCCACCCTAATTTAAGGCTCATAGTTTTTTTGAAGCTTATAGTCTTAACTTTTGATGGATGTTGTAGCATTTTTTAATGTTGCCTTATCTTTTGGCTTTTCTAAGATATTTAAAATAAATATTTTATTTTTTTCCTTACTTTGCCAGTCAATGTGGGTTACCTTCTCCTTATTATTTTATATTTTTATATCTAATTTCAGACAATGACAAAGCAAGACAACTCAAATCTGTTTTGTTTTGTCCCGATCTCGAATATTAAGAGATAAAGAGGGATATGCATGTGGTGTGAATTGTTTGGAAAAAATGGGACAAGACCCGAGATGGTATAAAATTTAAACCATTTTGATCTGTTCCCACCCCTAGAATATACTTCGTTTTGAATAAAGGCTTTGTTGACCAAACCGATACATAACCAAACTCGAACGTAACTTAGCCAAACCGATGTAAAACTGACTTGACCAACAATTGGTCAGCTCTAGTATTATATGTTGTCATTATTTGTGTTGTAATTCATATTCTAAGAATAAAAATACATAGCTTCTATTTTAATACTTTCTATATGTTCACTCTTAGTTTAGTCAATTTTTCAAAAGTTATCAAGAGACTAGAACACTAAGGCTATTTGTAGCGCTATACCACAACTCACTCCAAATCGAGAACCATTCAACAACACATGAGCGTTGACTACACTTATTCTTTTCACTTACTTAACACCCTTAGAGCTCGATTTCCACTGTAATTAGGCCTGTCAATGGGTTGGGTATAGACCTGAACCCGTATAATACTCGTAATTTTTAGCGGGTTTAGGGATTTGTAAAATATCATTTAGCCGTACCTGAACCCGTACCTGTATTTTAAAAAATAAAGGGTCGGGTATAAGATGACTAGTCTCGACGCGTTTAGAACTTGTACCGGTTCAATAAATAAATAATATGATATATTACAAAACCTTACCCTCCTTTTTTGTTGCTCTGCTTCTTCGCTGGTTGCGTGGCTTTCAAATCTATCTGTATTTATTTCACTACAATAGAGGGAGTTACACATTGGTTTATTAGTATGAAATAAATAGTTTGGAATTAGTTGTAATGTTATAAAAAACATTCTTGAAACATGAATGAATTTGACAAGAAGGCTGATTATGAATCTAAGATTTTTGTAGTAGATTTTTGGTGAACAATGCTTGTTTTTGTTACAATAACATATTAGCCTTATTTTTATTTGTATTCAATTAAGATGTTTTTTATTCATAGTATTTTCACTATTTGTTTCAATTATACAAAAATAAAAGACGTCAACTTTTATTATGGGTATGCCCGGCTCCATACCAAGACCTAATGGGTCCAAATCTAGGATTAAACTTCAAGACCCATCGGGTAAACGAGTACGGGTCAAGATGATTTTTTTAAAAAGGGTACGGGGATAGAACACAATGGACCGGCCCGAACCCAACCATTGACAGGCACTACTACAGAATGGACATTTTAAATTAGTTGTTTTTAATCTTTTAAATCGGTCGAGATTCGATGAAAAAGGTAGCGAAGCAATTGGTGCAAATACTTTTTGTATCAGTTGTAGAATCGATTCAAAAAAGCCTACCCAATAACTGACGCAAGTTCTGGGCAGGACTTTTTAAATTGGTTGTTCCCAAACAACGAGTTCAAAAAGCATTCCACAGAACTGGCGCCATTTCTTGGGAAGGCTTTTTGAATAGGTTGTTTGGGAACAATGAGTTCAAAAAGCTTTCCCCAGAAATGTAATAATTGCTTAATTATTTTTATTAGTTTTTAAATTTTTAGTAGCTCCCACCAGTGTAATATATGTGGTGATCGAACTCCACATGTAGAGAAGGGTGGGATGGCCTCCTTCCACTATGCCAAACTTCTATATTTATGTATCTCTACACATATTAATTACCGATGTTGATTTATGAATTCACTCTTAAGGAATAATTGTGTACATGGATGTTTATATAGGTGAGGATCCATACATGGACTAGGATTCACCAAATATGTAAACTAACATAAATACAATTCTACTATAACTAGACTTCTTTCCATATATGTCTAACATCCCCCCTCAAGCTGAACGCCGTGAAACGAGAGGAAGCTTGGCAACCAGTGCAGTATAGCGTGGCGAGGCAAGAGCTTTTGTGAGAAGGTCTGCCAGCTACTCATTTGAAGGAACATAAGAGACTGTCATTTTCTCTTCAATTACTTGTTCTCGTACAAAGTGACAATCAGTTCCGACATGTTTCATGCGCTTATGGAAGACCGGATTCTTAGTTAAACAGATGGTGGACTGGTTGTCGCATAGAAGATGAGGAGGAGGGAGCTTGATCTGTAAAATGTCAAATAAATAGGTGAGCCACATTACCTCAGCTGCTGCGGCCGAGAGAGCTCTGTACTCGGCTTCGGTGGACGAGCGTGAGACACGGCTCTGTTTCTCCGTACTCCAGGAGAGTAGATTCGAGCCAAAATATATCAAGTAACCTGTAATGGATCGTCCATATGTCATATCGTTGGCCCAATCAGAATCAGAATATGCATAGATGGTTTGTGGGCCTCGCCGAAAGACCAAACCATGATCAATGGTTCCTTTGACATATCGTAGGATGCGTTTCAAGGACTGAAAATCCTGCTCAGTAGGTGCATGCATCCTTTGACAAACATAATTTACTGCAAACTGAATGTCCGGACGTGTGTTTGTCAAATATTGGAGAGAGCCAACTAAACTTCGGAAAAAGGTGGGATTGTCGAACGGACGGCTCACCCCCTCCTCGGGCTGCCGTACGGGTAGGGGCGTGGGTGCCGGTTTGCAATCTTCGACTCCTGCTTTATGGAGGAGTTCACGGGCATATTTTTCTTGAGACAGAAGTAGGCGATCCTTTGTGCGTGTGACCTCAAGTCCAAGGAAGTAGTGAAGAGGACCAAGATTCTTCATTTGAAATTCCTGTTGCATAGCCTCGATGAAGGACGAGATAAGAGGTGAGGCACTTCCAGTGACAATAATGTCATCAACATAGAGAAGGACAATGAGGACGCCAGAAGGAGAATGCTTAACAAAGAAGCTTGTGTCGTGTTCATTTTTCCCGAAGCCATAATCAACAAGAAAACCTGACAGACGTTGGTACCAGGCCCTCGGTGCCTGTTTTAGACCATAAAGAGATTTCCTCAGTTTGCACACATAATGAGGGTGCTGCTGAT